AAAGTTTAAATGCAAGTCAAGAAACGAGATGACATGGCTTTCACTCGTGACCCATCTCGAAAGGGATAACTAACATACTGTTGTTGCTCGAAAAAAAATATTCACTGCCCTAGGCATTTTGGATGTACAACTAGGTGGCATGAAAAATACATAAGAATATGTAAAGTAGTGAAATTGTATATGATAAGAAATATTAACTATCAAAGATGTAACTTTAATAATAAAAACTCAGTAAGTATACTAATTGTTTTACTTGAAAATTCTGACAGACATATCTTTGGTATAAAGCCTATGTTATTACCTAGTGATTCATGGGGAGAAGAAATATTTATATACATATATATATTTTACTTTGCTGTTATGATGTATTCTTTATATTTATCTACATATATATATATATATATTACTTTGCTGTTATGATGTATTCTTTACATTTATCTCATAAATGATTTGTAAATGTTTAATTATTTTTTGTAATAACTTTTTACTTGTTTACAGAACAGCTTAAATGATGTGTTGGTTCAAACTATTGCCTGTATCTACCAGTACAAAGTGTTTCTCCAGTGTTGTCCGACACAATCAGATAATGAGCCATGTATCACTCTTGGCTCATCATCAGGCTCATCTTCACTGCTGGGTGCTTGTCGTGATGACAGCAAGTGGTGTGAAGCTTTACAACTGTTGAATAAAAGTCTGGCTGTGGCTGAGACTAATAGAAACTTTGTTAACAGAGAGCTCTCAGGTATATCAATTTGTACTTGGAAACATTACCTTATTTTACAGGACTGTTTTAACAATCTTCTTGAAATAAATCAGCTGTTGATGAAGTTTTCATCATTATTTGATGAGGATGGACAACAAAGCAACTGTTTCAGCCAGTCAGCTCTTAGTGTCTGTAGGGAAATTCATTGGATGATTCCAAAGTTTAAAGAAGAAGTTAGTCAGGTTAATCACACTTCATTATTCAAGAACATCCACTCTGATCCAAACAGGGAGGTTTTTCTTGCACCCCACAGCAAACAGTGGTTAAAACTGATCGAGAAACTCAAGGTTAAAGCTCTGTATTCTGTCCAGGAGCTCTACAGGAATATTTCTGGCACTAATAAAGAACAAGATACTCCAAAAGAAGAAGATGATTTACAAGATAAACACTTAACAGAAAAACTACTGTCAAGATTAAAAGAATATTTCAGTCTTTTGAATGTTAATGAAATTGTTCGTCTCATTAAGAAGTTAGTTAAATACTTGGAAGACCTCTGGAACAGAATAGAGGACCCTTTTGTTGTGGACAAATTAACTAGGTTAGTATTTGTGATTTGGCTTATCAAATCAATAAAAAAAAAGGTCAGGTCTTAAATCTTTACAGAAGTAATAAAGTTGAAATAGATTTGTGAACTTTATAATTGTTACTCTCTATGGTCTGTTTCTGTCACTCTTCATTGTTTTAGACTTGATAGTATTTTACTGCACTTTTTCTGGAACTAATTCAAAAGCTTAATATTAGCAGAAGAATAATTACAAAAACAATATTATTTGAAATGTATTTTAACTATTTTGTGTTATATGTAACCCAGCTGGATTACTGTGATGTAATTTTACATGTACATCACTACTGAATGTTCTACCTTTGCCAAGTAACAAATTCTTCCCCCTAAGAAAAAGAATGTGAAAAAAAAACATTTCACTTCAGTTAGCATTTTATTGATAACATTTGGGTTAATGTATTATATGTCTTCAAGTACAACTATACTATAGAAAACTATTTACATTAATTAATGTTTTTCAAATTGATTGATGTGACTAAGGTTTAATAATTATAAGTAATGCTCTCTAGCAAGTTGTATACTTGTGTTACTTGTCTTGAAATTATAAAAGAACATTCTAGGTTAATCATTTAATTTTTATGCTCATCTCAGATGCACCTTCAGCGTTGTTCCTTTAGTAAATCAGTATGTTACCCTACTACAGTACTTTGTCACAGTCCAGGTAGCAGCTCACAGGACTTCTTGTAAGCTGCTTTACATACTTTTATCAGTCTTTACAAATTTGGCTAAAAAGGTAAGGAAGGGTAGGAATGGTTATATAACTATTCTCATTTTATCTTGTGTTTATTGTGAATATTTAACATAGCCTATATATTGTTCTGTCCATAATTCTTTAACATAATCTCATAGTCCTTAGAAATATATAAGGAGTCTTGTGTGTGGTTGTGTGTTTTTTTTGTTTTTTTGTTGTTGTTGTTAATAAGAAATTTTATTACTTTATAAAATTTTGTTTATAAATTTCTAAAAAGTTGTAGAAGATATGTAAAGTTTCATATTAAAAAGTTGTAAGTCTTAACTATCTTTCTATTCTTCCTTTGTAGAGGACTGTAAAAGACATTAAAATACATTGAAGCTTAGTTAAAAAATAAACTGGAAAACATCTCAGAATGTTCTTAGTAGGTCTCCATTTACGCTTCTGTAGTATTTATCACAAAATTTGGTTGCAAAATATTTTAAAAACCTTGTTGGTTTCAGTAGAAATACTTAAAATGAAGTCAACTGTGTACTGTTCCATGTCCAAATAACATCGTGCTTTACAGGTTTTTCATGAAAGCAACTGCTAGAGTGATTAAAATTAATGGCAATTATTTTATGAAGCTTAGATCTTTATATTAACCTAATCAGTATATCTTAGCAAGAATCTTTATCACAGTCTGTCAGTAAAGTTTTGTGTCAACATTTTCAATAAATTTGAATGGTATAATAGCAATATATTGAAGTCCATCAATTCACTTTCTTCCCTTTATTTTTGATTGTTAAATTCTCTGTTACATATTTAAACCTCAGTGATTTAATCTTAATTACTGACCAAAACTGTAAACATTACGCCTTGTTAGGTAACTTTACCTTATCATGTGTAGATGTTCAAACTTTAATTAGTGGATTTTACAATATTTGCAAGTTAAATTCTCTGTTGATGAGAAGAGAAAATAAGAAATTGAGAGAGCCACAAGCCTTGTTCATGTTGAGTAATGTTAGGCTGTTTAGTTTGCTCTAGCATGCTTGATTCGTAGACTTCTTGGAAATTTCATAACATAAACAGAAAGTAAGCTATGGGATACAAAGAAGTAACAGGACTAACCTTTCAGGGATTCTGCTTACCTGCTGAGCTAAGTGAGGAAGTTCAAGGAGAAGGAGCTACTGAGTTTAAGGATATTGAGGAAGGAGGACTTGGAGAAGGAGAAGGAGTCAAAGATGTCAGTGAGAAACTAGAGAGTGAGGATCAACTTGAAGATGCCAAGCAACAAAACGATGAAGAGAAGAAAAGTGATAATGAAGATAATGTGAAGGTATTCCCTATAAATATTTGTATGGATTTACAAAGATTAATGTAGGAATTGCTAGCCTGGGTTACTTTTAAAAGCAGCATTTTGAAAGGCAGTATACATTGTAAACATGAATATATAAAGAAAATTAAACTTAGCCATGTGATGGTAGATCAATACTAAATTCATTATGCTGATAATTATCCTAAAATTAATTTGGTGCTTAAGGTTATTTGTTTAGGATATAACTACCACACATAATTGAACTAAATGTAAGTTAAGTAATCAGAAATGAACTTTATGTTTATAGGAGTTTATATTTTTATGCATTAGGTCAGGGGTTCTTAAATGTTTTGTTAGACCCCTTTTGGAAATATTCTAGGCTGTGGGTCCCCCCCGACCCACACACACACATACACGAAGTGATAGCAAATTACTATACATACTCTAAAGTATCTTTTATTGCAATATTTTTGATGATCTTGCAACCCCATATAATAGACTTGTGACCTCCTTTTGTGTTGGGACTCCCAGTTTCAGAAACACTAAATTAGTCCTGCAGGAAATCAAAATCCATAATTATTTATTTTTGTAATTTTTTGTACTGGCCTATAAGTATGGAAAGCTGAGTTTGATTCCCCTGTATGCCTAAAACATATTGTTAAGATTTTGTTTGAAAAAGGTTTAGACAGAGGATAGTATATAATCGAAAGACATTTTTAATGAACTGCAACTGTCTGGGAAGTTTTGGATAGATGATATTCTGACCTGGTACTGCAAATTTTTATCGGGTCAAATTGTTCAGACTTTATCAGGTGGTAATGTGGCTGTATTTGTGAACTTCATCAGTTGGAAATATAACTTGTACTTTGGTCTAGCTTGTATTTTATATTGGTACAACTAGTGTAATCTAGGGTCTTGGTGTTACATTAAGTCTCAGTATCAACAGAGCAAAAAACTGAAAAGTAAAATGGATAACAGCTGTTGTAATATTATCTAATTTTATTTATTTTTATGTACTGTTGATATATTGTTATACACTCTTCATTATTTTCACTCAGAAGCTTTTACTAATAATTATGTGTACTGGATACTTAATGACAACATAAAGACAATGAAAATAATCCATCATGATGCCTTTCTAGCATTTATAATGAACTTAAGTAGGCCTGTTTTCAAAAAGTATTTCATATAATGAGTCACAAGTTTAACTTCAGTAGGGAGAAGGTTGGAACATTGTGATTTTTACACAAGTATGTTTTTATTATAGATTGAAAAAGAGGCTACAATCTTCTAGTAGCTACTGATACAGTAATGCATTTCTGATAAGCAGAAAATGCAACTTATGATGATATAAACTTCCTGTAAGAAATTGTTGTAATTTAAGTAAAAAATATAGTAAGCTTTTTTTGTATCAAATGTGACCCATTTATAAGTGCTCACACTATATGTTTAAATTCAATCCATATATACATGTATTGGGTTTAATTTTTATAATAATGTAGGTTCTAATTAGACCCATTATTAAAATGACATATTAATGACTGGCATATTGGGCTCAGACAAGATAAGTTTTGGGTATAAGTGTAGAGGAAGTGGGAGAAACAGTCTACAGATTTGGCAGTTTGAATATGTGCATAAAATGCATGTTGAATGTATTTATGGAAAAAAAAGAAACCATTGGTGATGCTGCAAGGTGAGACTGTTTATGCTTATCATGTGACTTCATTAGGAATTGAAAGTAAAAATGTGATTTTGATGACATATCTCATTCATTCATTCACTCTTCACTTACTAGAATTGTTAGAACTACCCAATGTTAATGTGAGCAAAAAACTTGTATTCTTAGTTACATGATGCACATCATTTAAGATACGATGTCCATCATGTACCAGGCCAGAAAATTTGTCATTTTTAGGGTAAGGCCATATGGTCTTGGATTTTCAAGGGCACCAAGGTAAAAAAAACAAATTCACTAAGGCCACAGTACCCATTCATGTTAATGAAATAGGAATGAGTTTCCCAATTAGTTTAGTAAATATAGCATTAATTTTTTTTTTTTCACTGGGTGCTTGGGAAACTGGCCTGTCCTTCCAGATTATATTTATCAGGTTGATAAGTATCACCTTTAATCAATAAGGCTTATGAAGTAACAGTACATCAGCTGTAAGACTTTTAAAAAATGTATTTTTGAACTACTCTCTTGAAATGGGAATATCAACAAAATAAATGTTTTGACTTGAAATAACAAACAATGATTTTCCTTCTGTTTTTTTGTGTCCAAATTCAGTTCAGCTGTCTTCGTCATTACTCTCAGAGACATTGTCTTTGCTACTTCTTGGCCCACATGGCTTGATGTTCAGCCTTTTTGTGTACATGCCATGAGTCTACCACCTCTCAACAGCCTTCTTTGAGCAAAAGAGATCTAGTCTGTGCCCCTATTTATAGATATGCAGAAGGTCTTCTATTCTTGACACCTTCAGTTCCAAGTGTCAATCCCCAAGAAATCACTTAATGATAGAAAACTGGCATTCCATATGTTGAAGAGAGAACACAAGTAAGATTTTCACTAAATGGAGGAATTTTTTAGTATTTGTTTATCTTTTCATTCAACATCTTACTCCACAGATGGATGAGTTTTTCATTCCTATGATGATGTGCAATGCCATCTTTCACTTTCATCCATTCCCTCTTGATGCTAGCTAAGTTGCATCCTTTATGTTCCAGCAGTTGCCTGAAATGCTTAGTGGTGGTTTGTAACTCTTCAAATCCATAGTTTAATAGAGCATCAGATGAAGTAGGAAAGGTGAATGGATCTAGAATGTCTGATGCCTCTGTCACAGAGTCATCCTTTGAGGTAGAAAATCTTTGATTAGTGTATGCAATGATGTTGTCGATGGTCTCACACAACTTCTTTGAAAGAAGAAATATCTCTTCTTGCATATACAAGTTCAACACCCTTGTACTCAAATGTGCCTGATTCAGCTTCACCCAGTTTGGTGAGAATCGGCTTAGTTTGACACCCAATAGATTCTTTCTACCTCCTCTATGCAAATTGGGTGAGCACTATATTGTTATACACTTCAGAGTGAAAACTTAGTGATAGATCACCTGAGTCTTCAACAAGATCTCTGTAACATGTAAGGAGAAGTACAAACTTGACAGATGTAAGCTGCTTCATAAAACCTTTCATTGTTGCAGCATCAACAGCAGAGATATCTGATTGCAGTCCTGTTGACTTTTCTTCAAAGTTGGTCACTAGGCTCTGGTAATTTGTATCCATACAGGAAAGAGCTTTTTTTATGATGGTCTATCTATCATGTTCCTTGTGACCTAGTAGGCTTGACTGTGCTCATTAAGTACAGTTCCCACAGCCTTCAGCTCTTGCCAGTGCTTTGCTGAACGTCTGTAAATGTAGTACAGTTGCATCATTATTTGGTCAATCTGAGGAAGAAAAATGCTGCTTATTATCTAAGTCCAAAGATTAATTTTATATATGTTTGTTATATCATTATATAATTATAACACAAAGAATAATAAAAAAAAATATAAGTTTGTGCTATAAAACATACCTCCAGAAAAAATGTTCTATTGAAAGCATCTTTCAGTGCAAGCTCCAAGCGATGTGCAATGCAATGTATCTTCAACATCTATAGAGCACTCTGCTTGAGTTTGTTCACGACACCATTCACTTCACCAAAATTGACTGCAGCACCATCAGCTGCTGAGGCCACTAAGTTTTGACTGAGATCTAACCCATGATCTGCATACACTTCTTTGACTGATTGCATCATGAACTCTACTGGCATCACATCTGCTTGGTTCAGCAATGCTGTAGGTAACAGTATATGTATACATGATATTTAGTTGAACTTTCATAATGTTTCATCAAGAAATGAAATAATGAAAGCACATCTGATTTTTCTCTATGTTCATTGTGTTAATGTCTGACTACAGAACTTCAAGACATGCAAAGGATCAACACTGGTTCAGAAGCTGCAGTAAATATGAAAGTTCGAGACATGTCATTATTAATGACTAGCAAGAGTACCTGGCTTTGCTCAGGTTATTTTAGCATAAAAGTATAACCTATATACTTTTGTTCCTAAGCAACATGACATAAAAGCCATTGTTGGAATGCATTATTACCAAAACACACTGGCTTTTCTATATGTTAGAAGTTGTTATATAAGGAACATCTTCCTTCCTGTGTGGTTTTTCACTACCTTGTCTCATTAAAAGGAGTTTACTGATGTTTGACTGTCTCAACTACACTTTTCTGCCTCTTTGTTGGTCAAGCTTGAATTTGCATAATTTATTTATTACAGTTAGCTATCAAATATGAGGTTAGGGTATACTATGGGGTGGAAGTGGTAGTACTTACCTCGTCATTTTTGACAGGCTATATGCTGGTCCCATAATAGTTAAAATTATCCTACAACATCCCGTAATAGTTAAAACAGTCTATAACAGGTAAAACTACTGTATAACAACCCATAATAGGTAAAACACACTATAAGATCCCATAATAGTTTTGTTGCTAAGCGATGATATATATTGTTGATCATTACTAAAAGAAGAGCATGAAAGTGTTCACAACAGTACATCTTATTTTCTGCCTCTTTTGTTGGTCAAGCTTGATTTCACAAAATTTATTTATTACAGTTAGCTATCAAATATGAGGTTATTGTATACTGTGGGGTGTGGGTGGTAGTACTTGTCACATCATTTTTGATGGGTTTATGCTAGTAATAGTTAAAAAAACCACTATAACATTCCATAATAGTTAAAACCAATGTATAGCATCCCATAATAGTTAAAAACTACTGTATAACATCCCATAATAGTTAAAAACTACTGTATAACATCCCATAATAGTTAAAAAACTACTGTATAACATCTCATAATAGTTTAACAAACCACTATAACATCCCATAATAGTTTAACAAACCACTATAACATCCCATAATAGTTTAACAAATCACTATAACATCCTATAATAGTTAAAGAAAAACAGTATAACATTCCGTAATAGTTAAAACACTATAATATCCCATAATAGTTTAAAAACCACTATAACATCCCATAATAGTTAAAGAAAAACATTATAACATCCCATAATAGTTAAAGAAAAACATTATAACATCCCATAATAGTTAAAGAAAAACACTATAACATCCCATAATAGTTAAAATACCCTATAACATCCCATAATAGTTAAAACCAATCTATAGCATCTCATAATAGCTAAAACTACTCTATAACATCTGATAATAGTTAAAAGCTACTGTATAACATCCGATAATAGTTAAAAAAAACGACTATAACATACTATAATAGTTAGAGAAAAACTATAACATGCCATAATAGTTTTAAAAAATCACTCTATAACTCCCATAATAGATAAAACACTCTAACTTTCCATGGCAGATACATTTCTTTGCTGTGTGGTTTTTCACATAAAAAGATATGCATGCATGCACGCAGATAAGTAGTAATACTCAGATGCATACTCTCAGGGTCCACTTAGTATGGGTGCAAACTTTCAGGTTTCTAGGTTCTTTGCTCTTTGAGATATGGTGGACACATTCTTTTCTGTGTGGTGGTGTTTCACTAGCTTGCCTTATTAAAAAGATACACATGCACTTCGATAAATAATAATACCCAAGTGCACACCGTGCTTGCATGCACTTGAGTGTCTGTCTGTATGTGATTTCTATTTATAATATATGGAACCATTTCTTTTCTATATGTTTTTTTCTAGCTTGCCTCATTAAAAAGATATGCTTGTACACACGCACTTAGATAAGTAATACCCAAGTGCACACCCTCAGGGTCTACTTCAGGTGTCTGGGCTCTTTCTTCTTGGAGGTATGGTGGTAACATACACATAGATCCACAGACATGCCCTCTTATTACTATAGAATCTTCCCCACCCAGAATTTTATTTAAAGTACTCAAAATATGTTGAGAAATAAACACATCTTTGGAATGCCATCTTCAATCACCTTGATGCTTTCAGCTTCCTTCTTAGATGTGGATCTGTCTGTACTTCTATCAAAGAGCAAAGAGAAATAGAATGGCTCTTTCCTGAATGATTCTTTCAAGTCATCAAGCATAGATCCTGCATTGTTCTCAATTAAATCCTGGTAGGCTTTTCTGTTGTGATATGAGAATCCAATTTCCACACCATATTTCTTCTCAACAGCTACCATTGTTTCATAGAAATTAAATGGTTGTTCCAGAGCCCTCAAGGAAATGATATTGGAAAGAGTGAGATTCTATGTTGATAGCGATGCGATGTGCCATATGCACATGGCATTCATCTGTGTAGACTCAAGTGGTTAGCGAAAGCAAGAGGAATGTTATGGTTAGGTAATGCTGTTGTGACTTTAACCTCAGCTCAAATAACCTGAAATGTAAACAAAATCATGAGATACTTTAAAGAATACCGTCAGATTTTGAGAAGGGGGGGAGAAGTTAAAAGGATTTCAGAAGTTGACCCCTGTAACTTCATTGATTGTTGAAGATCACTTACATGGTCTTTGAAAAGTAGCCATTTGAAAATCCTGTCAGACAGACAGATAGAAAGAAATTGCCATGACATAAGGTCAAAATTCTATTTCCAAACAATACTATTACTAGTGCCGATAAACAGTAAACTAGGCCTATGCTAGTCATAACCTATAAATTATGCATCATCACACATTACATTGTGCAACTCGCTACTTGTAATTCAGTAAGATTATGCCTAATGTAGTAGGCCTAAGTCTTTGATGGGTTTGCATTTTTAAAAATATGATGGCAATTACCATCATGGCCGCCATGAATTTCCTGCCCTAATGTCCTATCTTGTCTGTAGTCAGTTGTTGAAATGTGTTGTAACTGCCACAGTTTGTCAGTCCTGTGAAAGTGACTGCCTGTGGTATTCAAAACGTTTGGTTGTTGTTATTCTTTCAGCTGGTGTGATTTTAATTTCATATTCAGTGTTGTACATAATATTTTTAAAAACACATACCAGTTGGCAAAGCTGTAGGATGTATGTTTCTCTCACCACTGATGCATTTATACTTAAACTTGTTTTCTAATAGCTCTATACTTTGAAATAAAAAAATAAACATTAGACAGAGAAGAGAAGATAGATGCATTGTTTGTTTTCAAAGAAATGTTTAATAAATCAGAGAAAGGGTGTGAAGGTGTCAACCATGAAGTGTTACATAAAAAGTCTAATATTCTGGGCTTACAGATCAAAGTAATTTCCATAAGTCCTAATTTTTAATATTAGAAATAAACTCATATAAGATATAAAAATGGGTGTTTATCATATCCCTGTAGAGCATGTTGCAAGTTTGAAGGAACTTGTATAGTTTTGCTCATTAAAAGAAATATTCTCCTTGTATGTAGTTAACTCCATCAGGCATATAGACTTTCACTAGCATTAATCAGAAATGGTACCAATTTAATACTTTGGAAAATTCTAATTCTTCCTAGCATCTAAACTTGTTTTTTATTTTGACCATTGGATTAATCAGCTATGATTTATTGATATCACAGAGTTTTGATCTTTGTAAGTAAATTTTTTATATCATCAAAATGATTTTTTTACTTTGCTACATATGCACATGTACACTTTATTCTGATCAGTTATGTGTTTGTTTCTGGACTTGAAATAGGAAGAAGAACACGGAGTAGAAATGTCTGATGATTTTGATGGAAAAGTACAAGATATTGAACAGAAAAAAGATGAAGATAATGATAGTGAAGAGAGTGAAGAAGATGAAGATGAATTAGATAAGCATATGGGTGATCTTGAGGAGGAAGATACAGAAAAACTGGATGAAAAGGTAGAAAGTATAATAAGCCATGCCCTTAAACTACATTGTTTGAAATATATATAGTTTTTATGCACAATTTTGAATTCATAACATTAAATTGACATTCTTGAGAGTGAGTATAGTTCTTTAGTCCCACTCAAGTAAGCTGTAGAGCAGTCAGCTATGTTACTTTGTGATTAAAAAAATATGACAAGAAAGTTTAGTTCTGAGAGTACTTTGTGCTGTTTGTGATTGTAATATGAAAAAATGACAGCTTTTTTATACACATAAAACATAAAAACTAAGAAATGCAAAAATTAAGTCCCCACTAGTTTGACATACAAAGTAAATCCATACCTTTAATAATGATTTACTTGGTATGTCAGAACTAGTCAGATATCCTTTTTTTTTTCCCCTTTATGTGTTTTTAATTTTCATTTCTTACTTGTGCATTAAAAAAAGCTGTATTTTTTTATAGTACATGACAGTTTGCTTTAATTTTTTCTACTTAACATTGTTTAAAGCAAGATAAATTATCTTTAATTGCTTTTTACTGTTTTGTTTGTACTTTTGTTCTTGTATCTTGTAAATTTGTTATTGGTGTCAATACCTTGTAATTCTTTACATTCACACATACTCTCATGAAAAACTGAAATTTGTTATATGAAAATATTTTTTTAAAGAAAAAAGTGAAACATTATTTTTAGATGTTTTTTCATACACAAGACCACACAACAGGTGAAAAAATAACCTAATTAGTCCACTTTTTTTTACTTTTTTTACAAATAAAATGTGAATATGTAGGAAACATTACAAGATTTCGTTTTTATTTTTTATTTTGTTTTACAAATTTATGGAATAGTGACATTGTAAACAAAGGACAAGACTTCTGTTTCATATTACTTATGAAGTCACGAAGGAGTGATTTTAAAAGAACAGGATGTTTTATTTTTATGAAGTTATGGGGAAGTGATAGTGAAGAAGATGATGATGATGATGATGACTTAAAGGAGGAGGGTTTTGGTTCAGGAGAACAACAATCACAACCTCAGCTGGTAGCTAAGGAAGGTAACAAACAGCCAGAACAAAATCAGTCTGAAGAGGAGAAAGAAAATGCTCCTGAGAAAGAGGAAGAAACTATCAATCCTCAAGAGGGGGAGTACAAAGGAGAACAACCTGATCCATATAAGACCCATGAGAAAGATAAGGTACAAATATATATTTAAATGTGGTAATTTAAGATGTTAACTAAGAACGAATTTGTAGTTACAAATAAGAAACAAAATGACACCTCATCATGAATCTTTATATAGAAATAATTAACACTCATCTATAACTGTGTGCAAAATTGGTATTGTGATAAATGAGCAATCTGAGTTTTAGACTCCTTTTCACAAAGAACCAATATCAGTCTGAGTTGATGACACAATCATTTTTTGTAGATGAATTACATTACCAGGCATGACATATACAGCAAGAATTCATGGACACTGTGTCTAGGTTATGTAGGATGGAGTTTATGAATTCAATAAAATATTTTATAAAATTAATGAAAAAGAAAGTTACATAACATATGGCATTCAAATCTGACACATAATAAAAATGCATAGGCAAAAACTACAGTCTTCAGGAAATAGCTATGTAATATTTTATTAATTATGCTGTATACTTTAGTTTGCTGTATTCTGTCAGAATATAAAGGAATCTATTTGTTTAGTAGTTTATTTTACAGTCATAAATGTACGTAATGAGTTAGTAGATATGTAAAGTACTACTTAAAAAAATACCATAAAATCAAAGATTGTAACACGGTGTAGTTTACCATGATTTTTTTATCATCAATAAACTACTAAACAACAGAGGTGTTAATAATAGTAATAATTTTGTTAAAGGTATCTATATAATGTTTGTTGTTTATAATGAATTTCATGGTTTGTATTATGAACTTTAACTAAAAGTTGAAATTAAAATAGGGATTTTAAAAGTATAGAACTCTTGACAGTATTTTTGATCAGCCATATTTTCCTTGAAGTATTGAATTAATACTTTTACATACACTTCTCAAGGAACCTGAACCCATGGAACTGTCTGAAGATTTACAACTGGATGATGGGAAAGAAGATGAACAAGAACAGCTAAACAATAGTGAAGAAACAAAAGGTGAATTTTGTAAACTGCTGGATCCTAACTTCAAGTGTATTAAGACTACCATAAGAACTTGTGTACATAACTATTTATCTTATAAGTTTCTGGTTTTATTGAACATACATAGATATAAACAAATTATAGATTCAGTCTAATTGTACTGCATTAACTGAAAAAATGTACCATACTCAAACTGATAACATAACTATTTTAAAAATTACTGTATTTCATTAAAGCATTAAAAAAACACAAGTCCATCTATGAGCCATCTGCTGTTATCCTTCTCTATACATGACTTGGTCATTTTGACCAACCTTGCAACCACCATGTTACCATGATATATATACATTCTATAACTTTTAATGTAAGTGTGTCTTCATTAAATTTAGCAGGCTTTTAGTAAACATTACAAATTTTTTATACACACGCAAAAAATGATTTTTCGATAAATATTTTTACTAAAGATTTGTCTGTGAATTTATAGAGTCAGTCTGACACTCAGTCTGAGTGCAAGGTGATTTTCACATTAAGTTAAAAAAAAATTGCATGTTACAATTTTTAGATTTCTTTTGCATAAAATGTAGAAAATCCTAAAATAAATATCAATTTTTTTTTTTCAGTAAAAGTATATTTTATCTGTTACTTTCTCTACCCTAACATTATACATGCTTGGTCTATTTGACTGACCTTGTAACTACCACACACACATTCTAGAATGACTGCACATTGTAGCAGAAAATTACAAATATTATTCAAGACAGCCTCAGGCTTGTAACAGTTGACATTTGTTTTTATTTAATTCTATTGTGTTATTACTCTTTGAACTGTGTTTAACTACTAAATCTGTGTTATAAAGCTACAAACACCCAGCAAGTGCACAGCATTTTTTCACTTATGTTTTTGTATCTAAACTAATAAATTTCTAATTTTTGCATTTTAGTTGCTTTCATAACAATAAGTTAAAATATATACATAAAAAAACAAGAAATTTAGTACTTATGTGTGGGTCTTGTTCGTTTTTACTGTCAAAGACTGAAAATGTCAATAAAAGTTTACCCTAATTTTTGCTAAGGTTGTTGTCAGTACTTCACCGAATTTTTATTTATTTCAAATATGTCAGTTTAGAACACTAAATAAAACCACGTACAAAGCATATAATTTTACTGACTTTCTAAGTGAGCTATTAGTATGTTAAAATAATTCCCTTAGCTGGTCAAGTTGAACTCATCTTTGAATCTGTACACCAAATAATTCAAAAGCTGTTGTGAGAATGAGTTAGTATTATACATAAACCAGTAAATTGAAATATTCTTTTTCTATTGGTTATAAATTGGTTGTAAAAGCAAATGTTAGAGAGAATAAATGACATTTTTTGAAAGACATTGGGTGTTAGGGGCATGACACGTGGGTTGGACTTTCTGATTTATATCTTAGTAAAATAAGATAAATGGAATCTTATAGTCAGACATTTTTGGTGTTGTAAAGTGTCACAGAGTAGATCTTTGTAAACACTATCTGTACATTTAAGTTAAGCCATTTTTTTTTTTCTAATGAAAATTTTCCATTGAAGTTGGAAATCAGAGGAGGAAAAAAGTATAAATAAAATTGTGTCATCTGTTACTAGCATGCATGTAATTCAAGTGTCTGAAACCCCCCTGACCATGACATTCTCATCTTCATTCAATGTTCAGCTTATCAAGTCACCACTGGTTTCATCTAAGTTAGTTTTTTGTATTGAATGTCTCACAATATCTAAGTTTTTCCTTATAATTATTGCATTTTGCACGTGACTTGCGAGAAGCACTTTCATCTGCTTCGCATGGTAAAAATAGCATAATTGATCATTTTTTAATTTGCGAAATAGCATTTGAAAAATATACATCCAAGATTGTGGCACACATTTGTACATAAAAATAGCACAAATGTCTTGAAGTATTATGTTATATGTGTTGCTGCAATGTTTGAGCGTTTTACCATACTACTTTCGATTTTTTTTTAAGACCAAAGTGTTGCCTCAGAAATTAAAAAAAAAGAGAGAAATCAGATTATTTATTTTTTCTTGGAAACATGAAATCTCATGTCAGAAATAAAAAAGAAGGAAATGCTAATTTTTTTTCTCAGAAATCAAAATTTTGAAGTTTGCGGGATCATAAAATAAAATAATCCTGGCCTAATCTGATATTGATCAGTTTCTATTACATGATACAGGTAAAAGTGGAATTTAACTGATAGTCATTATAAATTTATGATGTTTAAAAATTCATTAGTGGAATGTCACTATCACTTTTTACCTCTTTCTAAATATGATTATCACTTTCAAATCAAATAACAATATCCTAATCTGTAGTATTTGCATTACTTTTTCTACCAACCAGCACATAGATAAGAGGCCGTCAAGTGTCTTTGTTTTATTATTTGCCAGTTGTTTTTTCTTTATAAGTTTTCCTATTTGTCCAGTACTTCATTAAATTTGCCTATTTTTCTAATAACTGGAGAAAAAGAAGGGAATTCAAGCTGAAATTTAGTCATTAATTGAAGTGTTAACTCACTGGAGATTAATCATCCTTTTTTGTAGGTGCAGATTATGATGAAAATGAAGAAAAAGAGATGGAAAGTGATAAAAACGAAGAATTACCTGAAGAAGGCAATGACCAAGATAATGTAGAAAATGAAGACAAAGAAGGTGACAAGAAAGAAGAAGAGAGAGAAAAATCTCAAGATGATTGTGTAAAAGATGAGGAACAAAGTGGTTTAGAAATCCCAGAAGATGAAGAAAATGTATCTGGTAAGTAACAACAGCAGCATAAAAATGATAAGAAGTTAAGGCATTTAATTTGTGAAAATATAAGCCTAGATTGTTGAATCAAAAATAGAAAAAGTAGATTTTTGTATTTTTTACAATTTCAAATATCGTAGGGTATACTGCCAACTTTTTGTTACTTAGATGAGATAGAACTAGACTTTGTCCTTTTAATGAAAGGTCACAATAAATATGTTGTACATATCGATATAGATCTTGTAGTTATGAAGATGTAATGATTAAATGTATCTCAAATAAACCTAAAATATTTTGTCTTGAAATGCTAGTACCAGCTGGTTAACAAAAGCTTATTTTATATTCTTTTTATTTTTGTCTTGTAAAGAAGAAAAGTCTGCACCTTCACAAGATCAAAACCTTTCTAAAGAAGCAATAGCTGCTGAGGACAAAACAAAATCTGGATCTGAAGATAACATTCAAGCAATGCAACCAGAAAACAGCTTACAGGAAGGCCAAGGAAACCAACAGGATGATAACCTAGGTGTTGGCGAAGCATTTAATAAAGAACAGGCTCAAGGTATAGAAGGCACAATGTGTGTAAACTTTATAACAGAAAACAAACATTATATATAATCAAAAAGAAAAACATAATTTTGAGTAAAGCTTACAACAAAGTACAGACATAACTTTTAATGAAATAGAAGTAACATTATAATGTATATGACCTTAAGAAAAATGACATACAGTAATGCAGAAGAAATAATTAGCAGATTATAAATTAAAGCGTGGTGTTGGTGAGCCATACAACATTGAACAGCAAAGTACAATATGATTATAAATAAAAACTCCTATTTGAAATGATTGTCTTAAAACTGCTAGTCCGAGGGGAGTAAAATTTCACTAGATGTGCACTGAGAATTATAAGTTTTCTTCAAGAAAGTTTATACATAGTACAAGGTTCAAAACTATATTATACTGCATATCTTAATTGCTTTTCTTGCTTCCCCTATTTATTTTTTTTCAACATTACAGGATGTTGACGGGAATAAAATGTATGTCATTATGTAAGATATTACAAGGATCAATGAACACTCTAGGACAGATGATGCTTGCACCAGTTTAACTTAAGGATAGGAATGATATACAGATTAAGGATGACAAAAAGCACTTTTTTTTGCCAGTTTCTGAAACACCCTACACCATGTCCAAACTTGTAATTCTTAATGTTCCTCTGATGAAGTTTCATTTCCCCTAGGAGAAGTAATTTTTAATATATAATCATTATAAAAAAAAAAGTTGATTTTCTTTTTACTTATTCTAAAGTAAAATGTACAACACAGTATTAGATAAAGTTACTGAAATAAACCCAAAAGTTTGAATGCTTTCAGAGATTAGATGCTTCTACAGAAGCAGGAAGTGTGTGTGATCCTATTTCTAAAGAAGAGAGCATCATATCATATTGATAGGAAGTGTTTGTATGATTGTGAAAAACTGACAAATTTAATGGTAAGAATGGTGACAAAGAAGCAACAAAAGGTTCAAAATTGTGTAAAAGAAAGCCATATATGGAAGAATATGGCTAAGGAACTCAAAAAAGAAGTAACTTAACATACAAGTAAACACATCATGAGCAAATGACTTAATTGTATATTAATTTCTACTGCAAAATTTGCTAAAAATCTTCAATAAAAATTAGTATTAACTATAAGTGACAAGCAATATGTGATGAACTTGGATCTATTAGTGAATTATTAGGCACCAAAGCAGAATTGTCACATGTACCATGCCTATCACATTTTGCCAATGTAGCTATTACTATTTAAGAAACTTATTGTTGTATATCAAATGTAGAATAGTATGAATAACTAAAAAATATTTTAAATTATAGGCGACTAATACTGTAAATTACAAAGACACACAAACTTATTTCTTATTTAGTGTATGGCAATTTCCAGCTAGATGTCCACAGAGCAATAGCACAATATGTATGTATATAACCTCTTGTGCTATTGGAAAAGTTCCACTTTTAACTCGCTAGTGTATTTAAGGTAATCTTGCTAAAGTAAGTCCACTCAACAGTCAGACTTGAAAGGGGCGTATGAAGAGAACAAACCAATGTTGACCAATTAAAATTATCCTAAGATTATTTTTAAAAATTTGTAGTCTTAAATCTTCATGGTGTGATAAACTTTTGGACTTGTATGTAAGGTTACAGTAAAGAAAGTTATTTATATCCTATAATGACTATATTAATTAAGTCATTATACTGACAAATTATGAATGACTAATGACTGGGTGAATGACTAATGAAGAGCTGATTCACTATATTATTAAAGTAAAGATAAAATATAGATGAATGAATCAACATAGAGCTGACTTAAGCTATAAACTGAAGTTTAAATTTTGAAATTTTTGTCTAATGTTACACCCTCACAGTACATAATATATATATTTTTTCATATGTAAAAGATTATTAATTTTGTAATTTGCTCAATAAATGCTTTGTTCTTTTGTTTAGGACACATAGGAGATAATTTAATTTCGGTACAAAATACACAAAATTCAGAAAATAAAGAACCATCAATTCCACATTCATTGCGGCCAAAAGGAGTCCAACAAATGCGCACATTAGGATCCAGTCATGACAAACTTGAAGAACTGAACATTTTGGACCTTGAAAACAAGAATCAGGACCTTGATTCCAATTATAAGCAACGTTCAGATGCATACAAGCATGTAGAAAATTCTGATTCCAGATATGATGCAGAAACTATTGACCTTGCCACAGAAGAAGAGGCTGAGCAACAGCCTGTTCCATCACAAGAAGGTGAAAAGGATTCCTCATGTAATGATGATTTTATGAATATCCCACCAGACCAAGAAATAGATGAAGATGTTTCAACCAATAAACAAACCCTATTAAAGCCTGAAGATGGGAATGAAAAGGAAAAGTTTGGACTGGACCAAGAAAAGGAAAGTGACATAGAAAATGACATGGAAGTGGATATTCCAGGAGAAATGGTGCAGACTCACGGAGCAAGTCGAGGCCCTGATTCTACAATACATTCTAATTATGACTTATGGTCATCAATGAGTCACTCTAGTTCATTGGATCAGTTAAGAGAAGAGTTAGAGACCAAATTAACCACTCTGTCCGAGTCAGTGTTGGAAGAGAGAAGTGAATGCTTTCTTCAGGAAGCGCAGGAAGTATGGGAGCACTGTGAGAAAGTAGTAGCTCCACTTGTCCAAGAGCTATGTGAACAAATTCGTCTTGTTCTGGAACCTACCAAGGCTGCAAAAATGAGAGGAGACTACAGAACAGGGAAGAGGTTAAATATGCGTAAGGTAAGGGATGATGTGTAAACTTCTTTATTTTAGTTTTGAAGATTAATTCTTACCTATATAAGGAAATCTCCAAATCCTTTTTAATCAAGTTCAGATTTATACCTACAGCTGTTGGCATATTATTTTTTAATTAATTTCTTTCATATGTTTTCCTAAACTGCAAATATTGCAGAAAAGATATTGAAGTCTAAAAATTATCTTTCACATGTCGGTCCTTTTTTAATATTGTGCAGACTGTTTGAAAGATAGTTCAGGTAGTTGAATTTTCCTTTGTTAATTGAAATTTCTTAGGTAGTAATCAATTGCATATGCTCTAATGATTTAAACACTTTAGAATTGTAGATTAAGTTTGACAATATATTTTTTGTGCTTTATCATTTCCATAACAGAAACATCAAAGTATGTGTAGGTTATGTTTCTTTTGAAACACATTTTATAGTGGAATTGGAGAAAGAATTTTAAAGACATAAATATAATCAGTCTGCTTTTATATAGTGGAGTAACTAGATATTTATATCAAGTGAAAGTATGCTAGCTCTTTATATTAGAAATAAGCCTTATGCCTCTTCATAACAAAACTTTTTAATGTCTAATATTTTATTGTTCTGTTAGATTATCCCATACATAGCCAGTCAATTCAGAAAAGACAAGATATGGCTCCGTAGAACAAAACCCAGTAAAAGACAATACCAGATTCTTATGGCTGTGGATGACTCCTCCAGCATGGCTGCCAATCAATCTCGAGAGTTAGCTTTTGAATCCTTAGCTCTTCTCGGTAAATCGTTGTCTCTGCTTGAGACTGGTGAACTTGGAGTCATGAGTTTTGGTGAATGTGTACAGCTTTTGCATTCTTTTGGTGAAACTTTTACAGATGAAGTAGGGACTCAACTGGTTCAGAAATTTTCATTCCAACAGAAAAAGACAAGGATTGCTGAGCTTCTAAGACAAGCAACAAGCATGATGATTCAGTCAAGGATATCACAGTCTTCACCATTTTCCAAAGAAATAGCTCAATTATTAGTAATTATTTCTGATGGTAGAGGTTTATTTAATGAAGGAGAGGAAACTGTACGGCAAGCAGTTAGGTCGGCTAGAGATAATCATATCTTCACAGTGTTTTTGGTGCTTGACAATCCTCAGAATAAGGTATGATTAAAAATTAACAATCTACATCCCCAGGAAGGTAGAATATAGAGTTTCAGCATTTGTATTAAGTATTGCTTTAAAGATATTTAAAACTTGGCTTATTAAAGTTCCGACAGTTGTATGTTAATAGAATAACTCATTCATTATTAGAAAAAATTAACGAGTCTCACTTAGGGGGTCATGTAGTGTATGCCTGAACTCACTCATATATAAAAAAAAAATAATAATAAACAGTGGCAAACAGTTAAGAACATGTGTGGTAGTGGAATTTGGTAAATGATCTTAAGTACATCTGTGGTAATGGAAGTAGTTAATGAATCAAGAATGTCTGTGATAGTGGATGATTATAAATAGTCAAATACATCTGTGGTGGTGGAAGTAGTTAAACATTCATGTACACCTCTGTTCTTGCAGGGCTGTTACAAAGGGGAAAGGTCATATCTATACTATAGCTTGTGAAACAAAGTATTCCTGATACCCTGGTTAAAGGTCACCAGTATTTGCCTTTTCACACCTAACCTAAGATTTAAAAAAAATCATGATATGAACTACTCTGAAAGTTAATCCCGAAAATATGTATAATCTGTGAGTGAATGTGTTGTATTTTGTTAAGTACCCTTCACAGTACACTAAACACTGGTCTTCAGAGTATGCAGCTAATTATACTCACTCACAGATTATACATGTTGTATTTTGTTAAATGCCCTTCACAGTACACTAAACACTGGTCTCCAGAGTATGCAACTAATTATTTTAAAAAATATAACTTTTTTTAGTATTTTGACCTTGAATTATGCATATATTTTAAGATTTTTATTGTTAATTTTCATTTGACACAACTAAATATGTTCAAAATTCTTGTAGTTAGGCAGTTATTTAAAAAAAATACTATATTTTTGCTTTACACAAGGATCCCAAACTCCTGGCATGTGTGTTTTGGTGGTGGTAGTCAAAGTTGATGAACTCATAAGTACCAATTAGTTTTTACTGCAGTATTTGTTTCAAGATTTAAAAAATATCGGATTACTTTTTAATACCTTTCTTTTCAGTACAGTATTTATGAATTCATTTAATAAAAATTAATTTTATAATGTGATAAAGTAATTTTAAAATTGTATCATTTGTTTATTTATAGGACTCTATTTTAGACATCAAGGTACCCATTTTTAAAGGTCCTGGACAGGTAAGTGTTTTTTAGTATCCATTTATTTATTCACACACAAAAGTAGTGGGCAGTTGTGCTTAGGGCCTTCCAATTTACCTCTTAATTTTATGAGATATTTTTTTTATCCATGTGTATAAAAATAGGCTATTGGTCTTAAGCCTTTTGGGTCATACTTTTAGCTTTTATGATATTTTGTAAGTCACCTAAAATTTTGCAAAGTGATATTTATGCTCTTAATTTTTCTTTTCTTTTTTTTGTGGTTTTAACTCATTCCTTTCTGTTTCTAAGCATATTTAAGAGCCTTTTTTGTATTAAAGATAATTTTCTTTTTATGCATATCACAATTTACTTCTTAAAGAACCTTATTTAAGAATAGCTTTGTGACATATTGTTGAATAGGCACATTTACATTCACATTAAAAGATCACTGAGCATTTTGGAAAATTACGTTGATAATTCTCATTCTAAGCATATTATAAAAACAAAAGATGTACATGTATAATTTTTAATCATTTCAGTACTTGTGAATGTAGATTTTAGTGTTTTTATGTATATATATTTTAAAAACTCTCATTTGAATATAATTAACATATAGGTTGTTTGTCTCTGAATTTAAAACTTCTTAATCATTTTAGTGACTAACTTCTAGTAAATCACAGTGTATGCCAAAATTTTCCATCCAAAAATAAAATGTCAAAAAAACATATTATCTTATAAAGCTCATAAAATAAGGCAAGTGGTTTTAAACATTCCAACGGTTTACCAATAATTTTTTAAATTCCAAAATCAGTTTGTTTGTTTTTTCGTTTGACTTTAGATGTTATGAAAGTCATTTAATATAGTGTAATAGTTAACAATGACTTCATATTTGCATAACAGGTAGAGATCCAGTCTTACATGGACAGATTTCCCTTTCCTTTTTACATCATTTTGAAAGACATTACATCCATGCCCTTGGTGTTGGGAGAGGCTCTTCGACAGTGGTTTGAATTGGTTACAAACACAGACAGATAATTTCTATTCCACTAACATGCGTTTTTTGTAAAAAATACCAACTCCTTTTGAACAATTTGGAATTGAATACCATTCTGTGTATAACCTTAAAGTATTGTATTGTCTTGAAGTGGATGGGACATGACATGGAACGTGATGTGCCAAGATTTAGTGGATTAACTTAGCTTCATAACGTTAAACTTTTTAAAACCAGTTCTATTATTTTAATATCAGTGTGTTTTGTATCATGCATTTAAGAAAAGTAACCCTTGTTGGCAGTTTCAACTATATAAATAATTATAAGTTATGATGTTTGATAATTTATTGATTCTTGACCATACAGATTTGTTGAATCCGGTATTGTAAACAGCTGGCACTTGATGTGATAACTAAGTTCTTTTTCAAGCCTATCAAAGTTACTTTGTTTTTAGTTTATCACCAAAGAAGATTTTTGTATATTGATACGAATTTCAATAAACATATTATGTGGCTTTTAAAATTTTGTATGTTTTACGTTACAAAAACACAATTAAACGGTATTTAAAGCATTTGCTATTATTATGAAATATGTATATTAATCCAACAGGACATCCACAACCACGAAACGTCGTATGTACTGATGATTTTTTAAATACAAGTTGTGTAAGTTGTCTTTAGTAACTTCTGCTTTGATTACACGTTGTTCTGTTTTTTTTAATTAACAAATAAACAATACACATATATTTAAATATATTTTGTTTTTCGTTGTTAGATTAAGTTGTCAATAGAGGGCGCTTCACTAATCACGAAGTGTGTTTCATGTTCGTGGTAATATTTTAACAAAACCGTTACTTATGTGTATTAGAAGAGGCAACCTTGTCAATATAAAGTTTAACTAATATGCATAGCGAAATAGGCATCACGCAAAATATACATAGTTTATTGTACTGGAGTTCTGGGTTCCTTACATGCCAACATTATATTTCAACCTGAGATTATAAAGTGCTTAATTATTATAATAAACGAAGGAATATAAAATGCGCTTTTAAGGTTTATTATATTCGCAAACCTACAAGCTACTACTGAGCCTAATTTGGTTTTCAATACACGAGAAAAGCAATTGTATATAAGTTTTTCATAACAGATACCAAACACATCTATACATTTTATAAATATGTGCGTTCGCACTTGTGTAATTATAAAACAAAAATGGGTCATACTTATATAAAGTAAAAAAAATCAAGTTTTATAACTCGTAACTACATTCCAAACTCGGTCACCCTAACCATAAAGTAGGTTGTACATAATCTGAGAGTCGGTTGCTGAAGACTGTGGTTATAAACAGGACAAATAATAAAGATGTGTTATGTACACAATTAGAACGAGTAGAAAAACAATTTTAATTCATTTTCTGTGATTAGTTGTTTTCAGAAATAATTGGTGTCTTCAAAGTACAAACTTCTACTCTCATACTTTGTACCTACTTTTGAGTTATCTTAAAATGTAACAAATATAGTGCATAAGAATATAAAATTTGGCACTTTCAAGATGTCTCCCAAAACGAGCAACAATATTTTCTTATGCTTCTGTATTTCCTCTGTTTTTATCATATACTGAACCAACTCGCATATAATCAATATTTGTGGTATAAACTAGTTTTATTTCCTGATTACTACTTCGCTCGAGTCACAAGCTGCGCGCCATGGGATCGCAACCCGTCATCGAGCATGCTTGCCCTTTCAGCCGTGCGGGGATGGGGTATAATATGATGGTCAATCCCACTGTTCGTAGGTAAACAGTAGCCTAAAAATTTGCAATGGGTGATGTTCACTAGTTACCTTCTTTCTAGTCTGTCACTTCAAAATTAGCTTAACGTACATAGCTCTCGAGTAGTTCTGCCCGAAAATTCAACGAACATTATTTCCTTCTACTTGGTGACATCCAGCATGACAGTGAACCAACTGCTGTACAGTCATGATTTAATATATGCTTAATACATACATACTTTTAAAAAATATATGAATTATATTTTGCATTAGTAGGCTAAGTTTCCAATAGAGGACGCATCAGAAAACAAGACCCGTATTTCATGTTCGTGGTAATATTTTAAGAAAAAGAAGAAACAAAAACCAACGCACCACTCGAGAGTATTAGAAGAGAAAAAAAATCTGGATTTAATATATAGTATTTTAGTTAACCTTGTCAATGTTGATTGAATATACATATCGAAATAGGCATCATACTGAACATACATAAACAGTTTATGGTGCTGAAAATCTGGGTTCTTTGCATTTTAATTGCTAGCATTCTACTGTGATGATTGAATATATGCTTTAGTTATCTTCCAACATATCAGTCGATTAATTCACCAAAATTCATACTTTAGTATAAACTCTAGTTGTTTTCTAGCCCTTTATGACTGTACTTTCTAGTTTAACAGTAGACAATTTGTCTTGTATATAAACTTATGATCTTCTCCATACTATAAGACAGTGTGGATTGACTATAAGAAATTTAACTCATCTATAACTCAAATCTTGTATAAAAGACCCAATTCGTGGATATTCCTAATCAAGTATGAAATTCTTCAAAAATGCAATAAGAGACTCAGTTAATATATATTCCAAATCTAGTATAAAATTCTGAAGGATGGTTCAAAGTAACAAGTTGTCTAAACTTAGTGTAAGTTTGTGGTTTCACAATGAGAGGTCAAACCTAGCAAAAATCTTCCTGAGCTGACGTTAAGAAACCTTTGTTTTGTTTGTTTGTTTTAGAGCAAAGTCATATTGAGTTTTCTGCTGTGTTCACCGCCGGCAATCGAATCCCGAATTATAGCGTTCTAAGTTTGTATACTTACCGCTGTTCCACCGGGATCTATTACTTGGGTTTCTAGTAGTCTGCCTACACCCTATACTAGATTTGGACTAACTATTACTTGGGTCTCTAGTAGTCTGCCTACACCCTAATACTAGATTTGGACTAACTATTACTTGGGTCTCTAGTAGTCTGCCTACACACTAATACTAGATTTGGACAAACTATTACTTGGACCTCTAGCAGTTTGCCTATACCCTAATACTAGATTTGCATTATCTATGATTTGGGTCTCTTTTCCAAATCTAGTATTAAAGTGTAGACAGATTACTAGAGACCCAAGTCATAGATAGTCCAAATCTAGTGTTAGACTGTAGGCAGACTATAACAGGGTTAAATCATAAATTGTCTATATCTAGTGTTATACTGTAAACAGACTACAAGAGACCAGAATCATAGAAAAGCTAAAGCTTGCATATCTCTGTTTTGGCTATCTTCAGAAGTTTCAAATCAAGGATAATTCAAACTAGTAGTTTATATGAGATTGCTACAACACACTAGTAATAGATACTTCAAATCTCATAGAACGCTGTGAGCTAACTACAAGAGACCCGAGATGTGATTAGCTGTCATTTTTGTATTGACCTTTTTTTTTTATCATCCAGACACTCGTGTCTTACTCGACTAACACTTCATGCTGAACCATCTTGTTTACAAAGTTAATTCATCGCCATGAAACAATGCCCCAAACTTGTGCAGTGTGTGGTTGCAACACTTGCAACGTGGAATTTCAAAAGCCATGTTTTAATAAACTTAATTAATAGGATTGTTCTTTGATAATGTGTATTAAAGCGTTAGTGCATCTCCTTGCATTGCATGACAATACATTTTAAACATGCAAAACCTAATAACAAAAAAGGGAATTAATGTACTAGGAGAATCCAAGGTTTGGGAATTTTGTTGTTTTTTTTTTATGCAATTAGTCTATCTGTTAAACAGTACTATATACTCATTTCAAGGGTTTTTAGTAAACTGTATCGAAAAACAATTTAAATGATTTCTTTTTTGCGAGTAACATAAACACATCTCCCTGTGACATGACATGCAGCTTTTTGAAGTTTTACGTGTTTCATATGTTAACCTGACCCGTGTTGTTATTGTTTTTGTTTTGTCTTTTTGTATTCGTTAGAAAATTATAAAATGTGTATTTGTATTATTCAGTTTTAATGTATTTATTATTCCGGGAGTCAGAATAGAAAAATAAAGAATACAGGACACAAGTTGTAACGGAATAAAACAAAACGCCGCTACAACTAGGGTCGAAAAAAAAATATTAAATTATAACAATCACAGAAATCCAAAATAAAACTCAAATAATTGAAATTTTGAACTTTTTTCACTTACAAAAGAAAAAAGAGAACAGTTAATAAGTCCGTGCCTAGCCAGGACTTGATACAAAGGTTAATGAACAATACAATATAAATATCAATGTTAGTAATTTAAATAAATTAAGGAATTATGAAAAAAAACGAATTCCAAAAAAACGCTATTCCAAAATTAAACCACTTCAAGATCAATATCAAGTAACAATCAGTAATAATACATTTTAACTATATCTCGTGAACTAATTAATTTAACCTCAAGACAATGTTTTTATTTAGTGTTTTGACCGCGAGGTTATATCTCATGTGACTAGCTAATTTACTTAATCGTTCAAAACATTAATATCTGTTCGTCACTGCTAGGGGAAGCTTTTGTCAGTTTCATAATAAAAACAAACATACTCAAATTCAACGTGATCTGGTTAGAAGGTGAGTTAGCGCTTTAATACAACTAAAAATTCACAGTTAAACTAATCGATCGAAGGAATAATAAATAAACGGTAAACAAAATAAAGCAGAATTTGCTATCTTGCAAAGTTTTCTAATAATATATTACATTTTGTAAACTACATGTGTTTCTAATTGTCTTGCAATAAATTATTTATAACACGGAGAAAACGGGTATTAAAAGGAAATTCAAATCAAACAAGCTTTCCACTCTTAATGTTCAAACCTTTAAGGATTTAATGTTTTTGTTCAACTGGTAGAAGTGGTGAATGTTATATTTCAAAATTCATGCTACTCAATCAAAAATATTTCAAACAAAACCAAACTTCATAACAAAGTAAATGTTCAAACCAAGATCGTACTTGTGATCCTGAAACATTTGACAAGGAATCATAACTGAAAACAAGTGGAATTAAAGATCAACATGGACATAGAACTTTATAAAATGTGTGGAATTTAAAAAAGGGCCTTCATGGAATACATATATTCGTATGAAACTTTCGCGAGTTCGAATCCTCCTCACTGAACACGCTCGCCCTTTCAGCCGTGGAGGCGTTATAACGTAAAGGCCAATCTCATTATTCGTTGGTGAAAGAGTATCCCAAGAGTTAACGGTGGAATGTGTTGACTTGCTGCCTTTCCTCTAGTCTATTACTGCTAAATTAGGGGCAAATAGTCGTCGAGCAGTTTTGCGCAAAATCGAAAGCAAACAGTTTTACTTTTATTACTAACAGGCAAAAATCAGGGAACATCACCCGACAACATTATTAAAATATACAAAACATATATACGTCCCATCTTAAAATACGCTTGTCCCTCATGGATAAACATAGCTCCCAAACACGTAAATAAACTACAATCTATACAAAACTCACTT